TTCTCTCTCTCTCCCTCTCTCTCTCTCTATCTCTCTTTCACACATGATGCAAACACACACTCACACACACACTCACACAGCGTACAGACAAAATTGCACGCTTTCAACTCGAGAGCGCTGTTGTTTACACTCGTATATTATTATCACGGGCCGTCATGCGCTAACACAAGGTGGCGCCCAAGTCTCGCCTGGACGCAAGATAGGGCTGTTGAAACATCTTGGTAGGCATATACATTCCTAATGCATTGTTGCATAATTGAGAGTTCGTCGTTTTCCCCTACCCTAGCGAGCTCTGAGCCAGAGCTCAGTGTAAGGGAAAATGACGAATGGTCGATCGGTCAAGGATCACTGCTTCGCTTTCCTTAATTTCATGGGATGGAACGCTTGAAACAGGCCAAAATATTAAATATACATTACTGTTGTCACTGACTTTAACTGGCTTAATAAACTCAAACCGACAGTGGACACTCCGTCTACACGAAGCTTGAGTGCCGTAAACTTAGCCTCAACAGCACCTGCAAACTGCATTCCAGAGTGTTGCGAACGTAGCCTGCCAACTACGTTCAAGGCGCCGTGAACGTAGCCACTGCGAGAAAAAAAAAACATGGGGGGTTTCAAAGGGGCATGATTTTAATGTTTTGCAATTAGGTTGGATGGGCTATTATGCTATATCTCCATATCAAAAAGTAATCGTTTAGAACCAGAAGTAATCGTCGGTGGGGTCAAAACTAGATCTAGATCTAGGTCTAAATCTAGTATCCCCAAACTTGACCGCAATTGTGCCAAGTCGAAGGCTACAAATACAAGTCAAGTTAGAATCTAGATCTAGATATCTAGATTAGTAACTGCTGCAGAAATATAATGATAATAATATGTAAAACTACAATCCTGTGCATGAGAAGTGAGTGAAAGTAAAATAATAGATCTACTGTCTTTTTGACAGTTCGGAGTGGTTATGATGATTATCATCGCATAATTGTGCGAACAACTCTGTCTGTCTGGTTATCCGTACAATATTGTATTCACAATTGCTGCTCAATTCTTGTAGAAATAATTGCTACAGTTTTCCGTACAATAGTACATATGCCCACAGGCCTACGTGTTCTATCTTAGTAGATCAGTGCTTCCAATATTTTTATTTTCGCCAGACTTCATCTGCCGATCTAATGCCCGCCGCCTCTTTGCGTTGCCTTTCGTGAAACCATGTTGTAAAGATATTTAAGCTTAATCTGCCTTATTCTTATTGAAAGGTCTGATGGCTGAAATGACAGCAGGTCTGCGTTAGAAGAAGTACAAATTATTTTACGGAGTGTCTACGTACATGATGGTAACTGGGCGCATAAGTCTCAGAGTCTATGTACACAGTAACTGGAAGGTCCACCCTGGTTATACACACAAATATCATGTTGTGCAATTCGCTGTGTTATATGTGCACTGTGCGAACTCCGACATTCTCCAATGTGTGCCTTGTGTGAGGCCACGTTGTTTGACTTCGACCATTTCAGCTGCCTTTTTTTTCTCTATCCGAAGTTCATAGTCAGACACCTAGTGTAGATCTAGATGCACGACTACTCCATCTGACCTCTGCAGTGGGACTTTACCGGAATCCCCTTTTTTTCAATGTAAACTTTACTTATTATTGGGTTTAGCAGGTCATGGAAAGTCCCGAACTTGGATACAGCGGGAGAGATCGAGCGAGCTGTATCTGGAGGAAGGGGGTTGGGCGATGGGGAACTGTAGGTCGGCTCCAAACAGGCAGTCAGCAGTGTGGCATTGTGATTGGCCAGTCCAGTGATGAGTGAGGGGGGGTGGGGGCTAGCTCAACGGGCCCCCGAAACTAAGTACCCAGTTACTTTGTTTGTAGATAATTAGACTACATGCCCGGTTACCATGTACGAAGACACTCCCATTATTTTATGAGTGTGGGATTGAATCTCGGCCCCGTAAGTTTGTTTTTTTTCTCCTATCCCGACTGATCAACAATTTTTTCCCTTCATTGTTTGTTTTGACTTCAAAGATTTCCACTCACGGTTTTGTTAAAAACAAACATAGAAATCTACTCATTGTCATAATTATACTTATATTTTAATAAAAAGTATACTTTTCCTTTTTGATAGGCCTACCAAATTAGGCACCAACAACCTCCAAAATTCGATTAATTGAACGAATAGCTCTGTCTGATTATTGGTACAATTGTACTAATAACTAGTTAGAGTTATACTATACGCACTATTGTACCAATAGCCACAGCCTTGCTGTTAGATGCTAGACTAAAATCTAATATCAGTCTCATGACAAAAGGCTTGAAAAGTAATTATGAAACAAGGAGGACAGCTCACACCAGACGGTGACACAGTCACTGACAGTGGGAGGACTTCCATAACGAGCGACCACTGTGATGAGACAAAGTTCAGTAGAACAGAGGGGTAGGCTTTGGAGTGTGGATAGGGTTTAGGTTTGGGGTAGGGTTAGGGTTATGTCTCTTCTTTATTGTTGTTGTTTGTAGATGAAGCTACGACAAGCACCTAGCACACTTCTGTGATTGGCCCAAATGAGGTATTTCCCCCATCTGTTTTTGTCATCTTCCGGGGCTTCCCTCGCCAGTTGACTAGATCTCACTGTCGCGGGCCCGCTTTGCCGCTTAGCCTGTGATAGGTTTCATTGCCGACTGCTTGGGCTTGTGTGTGCACCAACATGTGCGTGTGTGCACCCACATGTGCGTGTGTGCACACATGCTTGTGTGTGTGTGTGTACGCGCTAGTGTGTGTGTGTGTGTACGCGCTAGTGTGTGTGGGTGAGCGGGTGTTTGTGTACGTGTGTGCGCACACGAGCTTCTGTGTGTGTGTGTGTGTATACAACTTTGAGGAGAAGGTAAATTTATGGAAGGAGAATTGCTGAGATTGTTTATAAAAGATAACACAAATTATTTTTAAAAAACAAAACCCAAACAGAGCGAGATCTAGTCATCTAGTCAACAGTTACTGGCGAGGGAAACCCATGAGTCTTTAAGCAAACCCCGGAAGACGACACAAATAGATGGCCGAAATATGTCATCTATATTAGGGCCAGTCACAGAGGTGTGCTTGCTGTAGCTTCATGTGTTGTTTGTTGGGGTGGTTGCTCATTACGGAAGTCCTTCCCTGAAAGTGTCAGTGACACTCAGTCACAGGTGTTGGCTTTGGAACTGAAGCGGAAGAGACTGCCACTGTCGGTCACTGTCTCATCTTGTCCCTCGGAAGAAATACACTCTTAAAGATACTCTTGTCAAGTGCATGAAAATCTTTTTAAAACGGCGAAATATACCTAACAAATGACTTTAATTTAGCCTACTTTATTTATTATTGCAAGCCTCCTTCACTCTGGCCTTGTACTTTTAGGCCCACATGATGTCTTGTATTGTGAGTAAACTAACTATTTAAGTCAGGTTGACTTTCGTGAGTTAAATGTTTGTCAGTTTTGAACTGGGTGAAGTACTGAGTTTTTAAATTCATTCCTGAGCAAGATCTGTGTTATTCTGTTCTTTCTGTTAACAAATTATAATATTTCTTGTGGTGTTAAATTGTTTTGGTTAAAAAAAAAAGAATTTTATCAAGTTCAAGCTACCATGTTTTATTTTTCAGTTATAGTGTTAGAATGGATTATGACTTTACTGCGAAGTACCTCTCAAATTTTAAGCCAGTTATTTCCACTATTTTATTATCTTTCATTTTGTCGCACACCCTTTTTGCAGATCTCAGTCACTCTGGCGTGATGTTATCAAGATTACCTTCAGGGACAATTGACTGTTTGAGGTTTGTAACGTATTTTTTCTAATTCAGTTTTACGGAAAATTTATGTAATATAATAATAAATACTGTATGTCATTTGAGCTAGAAGTTGACTCTATGTCTTGTGTGTGTGTGTGTGAAAAACAACCTGCTTTCTTGTATTCTTGTACGAATACATGTCTAACTGATCAATATAAAAATGTGTTTTAGCACTCCTTTCAACATCATAGTTATTTTATTAATGCGGCCTTCGAATTTGATGTTTATCTCCAATAGGAGAGAGCCAAATGGGTGGAGGGCCTTAAAAACTACCCAACACAACTAAAGTCAAAACGGCCCAATGGGGATTCAAGCCAGGGCCATTTGCTCCGAAGTTCAGTATGATACTAACTGAGGAAACGATACATTACTTTGTCAATATGGGGTTACAAAAATGATTGGGGAAAACACATGTTTCTGAATAGGATATAGTTTTGGAATATTATGCCTTTTTCTCGGCAAATATAGCTAGAAATTAAAAAAAAAAGCGACTTATTTTTATCATTTACAAAGATTCAAAGTGGACTCTCTCTCTAAATATATATTAATAAAATATTATATATGTGCCTTTCAACAAAAGCTAAGAGTTAGCAGAGAGTTTACATAGTTTAGCGCTTACACTCTTAATAATAATAATAATGGAATACATTTATTAGCACATATCCACTAATGCAATGCTCCATGCGCTTAACATGATACATATTACAGATTTACAAATCAGTTTTAAAGGCACATTGTATTACTTATATTCACACACACACGCACCCACACTCACACACACACATACATACACACATACATACACACATACGTACATTTGCACAATCAAACTCACAGCGATCTACAGCTTGGATGGATTCTGTCTTCGAAAAATGATGAAAATAGAAATGCTTTTAGTTTCTTCTTTAAAATTTCTATATTTTCTGCTTCTCTGGTAGTTTTTGGAAGCCTCTTCCAAACAAGTGGGGCAAAATATGGAAAAGAGCGTTGGCTATATGATTTGTAATTTATTTGAGGTTTAACAAAGGTTTTTTTGTCACTTGATGATCTGAGCATTCTAGGTGGTACATAGGGTGTTAAAAACTGTTTTAGGTAGTCAGGTGATTAATCATGTAAGCACTTGTAGCAAGTTTAACAGATTTTATATATGATACGCTCTTTCATCGGGAGCCAGTGTAGTTCTTTTAAAATAGAAGTCACTTGATCATGCTTTAGTTTCTTAGTAATTATTTTGGCAGCAACATTTTGTACTCTCTGTAGCTGTTGTAACTGTTCATCAGGTACACCAGCCAGTAAGGAATTGCAGTAATCAAGCCGTGACGATATAAAGTTGTACACTTGTGTACACGCCTTTGTTTACCTTTGGCTGGTGTTGTTGTTGTTGTTGTTATGTGTGTGGTATATTCTAGCAGAAGGATGGACTTACTAAATAGTATATTTGACTTTTGTGCGGTGAAGGTGGTCGAAGGGTTTGAGCAGTAAGGGCAACATTAGTTCTACATTAGAATGAAATCTTTAGACACAATGGAGGTTATTTATTATGTTCCTGTTTGCAGAAATCTTTTAAATTTCATAATGTTTTAGCTATTAATCAAACTGAAAATATTGAAGGAAAATAGGGACACAAATATAATTTGAACTTGTATTCCTCCTGGCTAGGTTACATCCATGCTTGTCGCGGATTGTTGTTGCCACCCTCAATGCTGGCAACCCGGGACTCCATAAGGCTTCACTACACACCGCCACACCCCTGGCTCATTATAGGAACACAGACTTTGAAGACAAAGCCCCATCCAAAATAGGGAGAGTGAACTTAGTGGCACCGAACTGGCTCAAGTACAATGACATTGTATATCCTCCGTCAGAGGAAGGGGACCCTCCAAGGCCAGCAGTATGTATGTTTTGTCATTTATAGACTGAACAGATTAGAATACATTCCTATGAAGCTTTAGGCTAAGACTCTTTGTCTCTTTCCATTTCCAGATGGAGCAGCTTTTCATCTTAGATAGATGCGTTTCTGTAATTGTCAGGTTTCTGGTAAGGCAGGTTTGCTCGTACTTCTTGAAAGAGCTATTGTGTTCATATTACCAACAGTCATCTTTTGTCGTTGTATCTTTTTTCCCCTGTCTTAGACTTCCATTACAATATGGTTTCACCCCTTTTTTGCTTTAGTATGCAGTTATATATATATCAGTTATGTATTGAAGCTGAAACTGAAGGGTTTAATTCTTTTCTCTCAACTCAATGTAAGGGTCTTTCTTCCTGTCGGTTAAATTTATTATTTATTGTATGAGTAAAAATGTATCTTTTGCTATGACTATATGATACTTTTAGTCTTAGCTTTTAAATCAGTTATTCTCTTTTTTCAGGAGATTTGTCATTCAAGGTTCCAGATCAAATATGCCACCAAAAAATTATGGTATATTGCTGCAATGGTGAGTTATTCTTTACATCACTTAGTCTCAGATCTACTTATTGAAGCGATTTTACACTCATTTTTTTTAGTCTCTTGTACTTTGAGTTTCTAAGATAATTTGATGTTAAAAGTATGGCAATATCTTTTGAACTGTTCCTTCTTTAACTTCATGTGTAATTGTTTTGGTGAAAAATAATAACTTGCTGCCACGTGAAAAAAGAGTAATTGATGCTTCTTTATAAAGCTTGAATAGGGTAAATTGTCACTGCTCACAAATTTTTCCTTTATGGATGTTATATATCAAGATCTGAACAGTGTTTTCACTCCGTTTGACTTCCCATCCCTTACTTTTTTAAAAACTTGTGTTGTTTGTCTTGATCAACAGATACGTGGCATGTCTATTGATGAAGCTCTCCAACAGCTGTCCTTCCACAAGAGGAAAGGAGCAGCTCATCTCAAAGAGGTGAGGTGCACTAGCATTAGTTATCTTGATGTTGCAAGGTGCAGTTTTGTGACTGACACTCGTTGCCACACTAGTATGGTTCTATAGATAGCTCACCTCCCTCCCCTATGTTAGAGCGGAAATATTCTTTTCCATGCTTATAGCTGCCAACCAGTACTTAAAAACATATTTAGTTTGTTTTTGAGGACCTGAGTATGTAACTGTTTTTATGTTCGAAAATACAATATTCTCTGTTGTTTTAGCTTTGCTCCCTACAGACTTGCTGATGCTGGAAAAAATTTTGAAGGACAACGAAGCTCATAATTATGTCAGTTTGGAGAGATCTTTTGCTGCAGGTCTTCTTTGAATAGCTTGAATTTATTGAATGCTGAAAAGTGTGTGTGAAGGGTTTGGAAGGGGATTTACTCAGCCAGTGCCTATCATTTTAACCCATTGCGTGGGTAGAGTCTTGGTTTTGAAAAGTTGGCATCTATGCATGTTGGGTGAAAGTGATCAGTTTTTGTTCTCCTTCATCCTACACTTTTCCTGCAGTGTGTGCTGGCATCGTGCTGAAAGCTACCACCTGGTCAGTAAATGCATGGGAAATGGAGCCTTGTAGGGATGTTAAAGCAATGAGATTTTTGTGAAGCATTGGATGATATGCTTGCACTGTTTTCTGATAGTTTCATCAAAGCATGAGCAGAAATTTGTCTGGGGTAAACTTCTAAAAACTTTTTTTGTTGTTCAAGAAATAAATTTACAATAGCAATGAACTTTTAGAGAATAAAAAATCCGGGGAGTTTTTGTGTATTTGCTGCATGTCTCACAATGAGTTAAATCTGGGATGTATAATAAGTAGCCCCCCCCCCCCCAGTCTCAGACTCAGTCTGTGCTCATTGTGCCTACTTCCAACACCTGTTAGCGGTTTCTTTGGAGTGGTTTTTCTCCTTATTTGCTGACCAACATCTGTTATCCTTATCTCTCCTCTGCCTTTTCTTTCTATGTGTGGTGTCCTAATGTGGGTTCATTCGTAAGATCAAAACAAATCAAACTCTGTGTTCAAGAACTGTAGTTTATTCTTACATTTAACAACGACATGCACAAAGATTTATACATCCTGTGTAGTCTGCATCCAGGCCGTGACTAACGGTTACCAATGCTAAAGATTCCCATCCTATGAACTTCGCAGTCTCAGAGCATTGTTTTGTTATCCTATGAAGGCAATGAGCATTGTTCCTCATGGGACATGTTGCCATTGCTTTATCACCATCAAAGGATGTGCCAAAGCTTCATGTTACAGAGGGAATGGAAACCCGACAAAAGTACACTCAGCCAACAACAGATTACCAATGCTACAGTATGCTACAATTGTTTCGTAGTAACGCTTCTAATCTTGAGCCCTTTTATGACCTATTTGTCTAGCAAGTGCCATCTATCTGTCGCAACGTGGTGGAATCAGGCGCTCATCTATTTTGGGGCATATGGAGTTAAAGGTATCATCTTAAAGCCTGTCCATTTGCCTTGCTTTTGATGAAAAAAATATTCTGTTATCTTGGATACAAGTCGAGATTTTGGCAATTGAAGGAAGTTTGGTCGCCTGGTTTCAGGAGTAAAATATAAGAAAATGGCAGCCAAAGTTTGGTAATTTCCATAGCTTGAGAATCCTCAGAAACTGAAAAATTACAATTTTTCTGCCTTTAATCAATGTCTTTCAGTAAAACCCACACAGAAATGGGTTTTTAAATGGACATAGAAGGTGTTGAGCCAAAGAAAATTAGGAAAAATTGCCCAACAGCTAGAAAAACACCAGTTTCTGTTATTTTATAATTTTGACGAGCGCCTGATTTCACCATGATGCCTCTCATTTAACTTTTACTAAAGCTAAAACCAAACCAAACTAACTCTCTTTCTGGTCATTGTATGTGCAGGTACTGGAAGAAGCCCAGGAGATGGCGGTGAAGGAGCACAATGTGGAGTTCAAGTCAAATCTTTGGATCTGTAAGTGGCACTTGGAGCTCTCGCACTCGTTAACGGGGTCCATTTTTGTGTGTGCATAGTTTCTCTTCACTTGGGTCTCAATGGGTATTTGGAGAGTTTAGGGGGGGTTGAGGATGGATCGACAATTGAATTAAATTATGCATTTAGAAGTAGTTACCCGTGTGTTGGTAGGTAGCTGGTAGGTCTTACTTCTTTTCTTTTTCACTGTTGTTTCTGTATTTCTTGCTTTTTCCTTGCACTAAATGTCTATTATTGTGTATGGATATGCTTCTCTTTACTCAGACAAATTAATAGGGTCCCACCTTGTACTCAGTTGGATGCCCCAGTTGTTCTTTCTCAATCTTTTATGACTTATATGTTGTGGGTGATCTTCGTCTCGGTCATGTTCTCTGTTTAGTTCCTTAACAGTTGGTCTGCTTGAAGCCCTCCCCCCACCTCTTCTCTCTTCCCTTACTTCATGAGGATGGAGGGTGGTAGATTGTCCCTTGTCACATCAGAAAAACGGGGGAATAGCAGACATAAGGCGCGCTCACTCGGATACATATTTGTGATGTTTCTTTAGGTGTATCCTGATCATCATCTCCATTTCGATTGCATACCGTCTTTTGTCTTTTTTTTCCTTCTTATTTATTGAAATAATGTGTTAGACGTTAGTGTCTAGTGACATTGGGATGTTGCAACCATGCCTATTGACTCTCTCTGCTGTCCCTTTATTAAACCTTTTCAGATTGTCTTTTGTATCATGCTACCTTTATTTTCACCTTTGTAGTGGCGTCAGTCATCTAAAAGTTAGCTGTGAGGCACATAATTGAAAGGTCATAGGTGCAACCTTGTAAGGGTTCTGACATTGTGTCCTTGGAGAAAGGCTCTTAACGTATATTTTCCTCACTTCACCTTGGTAGGAATGGGCACCAGCTACAGACAGAGAAAGAACTTGCCAGTTTGTTAGTTTGGGGGGTGGGTGTTGATGATGATTTTCATTTCTGTCTTTGAGGTTTATTATGGATTAGTTCCTGTGGTAGTGACAGACTTGGTAGTGACAGGGTTCTATCTTGGCAGGTTCATATGTACTTACAATGGTGTGTATACACTTTAAAATATCATTGGTAGTTCTATAAAAATGAATTTATGTATGTCAAACTGTTCGGTTTTTTTGGTAAGTATTTTACGGTGCTCACAACTGCATAAGGTCATAAGGTCCAAACTACATTTCTATGATTTCTTTCAGGTGATTCTTTTGTAACCAAAGGCGTGGTGGTCAAAGGCTACAGAAAGCACATCAAGGGCCGCTACGGCATCATCCACTATCGCTATTCCAACTTCTTTGTGAGGTTGAGGGAAGGGAGACCACCCCAGCACTACTACACCCCTGACAAGACGGGGAACCAGAAACTGGAGGAGTACATCAAGGAACAAAGGGCCAGGAGGATACAGCTGGGCTTGTGATGATTTTTGGTGTCCTCGTGACTGTTGTTGTGTGTTCAGTAATAGATAATTTGAGATCAGAAAAGATGAGTCTGCATTACCTACATGATGTCAGAGTTCAGCACCAAGACCTCTTTCCCAAAATGGTTCAAAATTATGGTTCTGTGAAATCTGGGAGTCAGTTGCCGATGAAGATATGAATTATTTACGGTCTTTTATCCTTCTTTTGATGAGAGTTTCCTTTTTGGATAGAGAGATCCGTTGTGGTCCAAATTCTGAAATGCCCAGACAAAAAGTGGGTTTATCATTTTTCAGTCGTGCACATTGTATTTGTACTGTATTCAACACCCTGGCAAGTGCTTTCGCAGTTGCTATTTGGGCACGCTATGAAATGGTTTGTTTTATTGTCAGGCTCTCTATATTTGTCAGCAGTTCAGCAGTAAACAAATTGTGCAATGTGAGGAGCCTTCATTTGCTTGAGGATCGGCGCCATATATGCACTCAATTTTTATTGCTAGTGGTTGAAAGTAGCAATTGCTCTCATGAATAGAATAGTATAGACTCCATGTTTTCCTTTTTGTGAGTCAACATTGTGATTTGGCTTTGGTGAAGGTAATTTGGGGATCGAAAGACTTTATTTCAACATCTCACAACTTCTGAGTCAGTAATGACATAATCTGGATCGAATGGAGGTGTACAGATAGACTTTCGACCAGACTGGAAGGGATTGCTTCTTCTCTTGTGGTATGTTGTGTGATACGAGTAAGTTGCATCATAAGATCATGTATCTTCCGTGGTCATTGCAACATCATCATTGTGAGTATTCATATATAATATTGATAGGTGGTCTGTATGTAGATTGCTACTTGAGTGAGTTGTCTGTGAAAAGTATCAGAATGCGTGGTATCTTTGAGGTAGGATACCGGTACTGTGCTGCTAACTTTGATCCACCCATTTCTTGTACTGGATTTCTGTTGCTTGAAGTGTGTTTGTGTGTGTGTGTGTGTGTGTGTGTGTGTGTGTGTGTGTGTGTGTGTGTGTGTGTGTGTGTGTTTGGCTGTTGAACATTGGTATGTTGAAGAATTGAATGAATAAATAATCTTTATATGTCGATCTGATGTCTGTTCTTGAATATTTTCGTGACAATAGCTTCTTTGACTTGATTTTGTGTGCTTTTGTCCCATTTGACAACTGCTTAGATGTGTGGCATCGTGATGAAGTCAGGTGGTCGTCAAAGTAAGGAATCGAAGAAATTTTTCCCTGTCTGTATGGCAAATTCTATCAACTTTTTTGTTTTAGGCTCAACATCTTTTTTGTCCAGTTGAAATCACATCCCTGCATGGATTTTGCTCAAAAAGAACAAAAAAATTTGTAAATTTGCAGTTTCCAATGACACAGCAGCCAGGGCTGCCCACCATTACGAATTTGGTGGAATCATTACGACTTTTTAACAATTTTACGAAAATACGATCGTAATACACCTGAAGAGAGAGTCAATAGGCATGGTTGTAACATCCTAATGTCACTAGACACTAACACATTTTTTCAACTGGAAAAAAAAGACAAAAGATGGTATGCAATCAAAATAGAGATGATGATCAGGAAACACCTAAAGATATACAAATGTGTATCCGAGCAAGTGCACTTTATGTCTGCTATTCCAGCATTTTTCTTTAAAAGTTTGACTACCACAACCCACTGCCAGCCTTCTCCGTGTAAAAGGAGAGGAAAACTACCAGACCTGAATAGTCTTCGTCACTACATCATGCGTAATTGTCTAACTTTAACAGTATTAACTCCCTCTTTGCATTGAACCCTTATAGTCACTCGGTGCCACTTTGCCTTTAGAAAAATGTTAGATTTTAGAAGTGTCGAAGCCAGGAGTAAGGCAAACATTAGGTTGATATGGTGTAAGAAAATTCCTCCCCTTTCTTGTTGTGGGTGACAGCCGTGGAGAATGTAAAAAATTAGATCATTGTTTGAAACACTTGAAACATATACATAGCTAAGATGGGTGTGTTGCAAGGACCTCTTTTTCTTCATCACCCCTATGTTTATGTTTCATGATAAAATACTAATTGCTTGATTACAAGCCCTGTCCTTGACACCCCATTGAGGAAGACTATCCATGGCCATGTGTGTGTGTGTGCCTGGTGAAAGGTACTAAATGATGCATTTTTTTTGCATTTTCATGTACCGAATTTTGTGAACAATATGCTTTTAGAATTTTTAAGAGTAGCTTTTTAGATATTGACTTTGTAAGGTGCGGTTCGGAAACAAAGTTTTGAGAAGAACGGTTTGAAAGTTTCCCCTTTGTTTTTGCTTCAAATAGATTGATCTACGCTTTGAGGCGACCTGACAACACATTCGCTACTCACAAACCAACTTTAAAAAGCAGCGGAGACAAAAGAACAACTTCAAAGTGTTTATATTACGTCTTCAAAACAAATTCACCACTACCTTGAGCAAGAATTTTCAAGAAATAGATCTAGGTTTGAGTAGGGCAGAAATGGACTATACAAGTTTGCTTTAGAAAAAAACAAAAGGGTGGTGATGCGCAAAGCTTTGCTTTCTTTACATGTTCTAGATACTCATGCGCACCACCCGCCACTAGAGAGGAGAGAGAATGACTTAAATTTTGGTACATTATATGCATTGCGATTGGGTCGAATTTATGAATGGACAAGAGAAACCATCCGCTGTGGTGTTTACTTGGAAAACTAATTTTCTCACGCATTTTTGGGGATTATGCAATAAAATGTATTCTAAATTAAAAGAAACTCTAAATTTAGAAAGTCCTTCTAAATGTTGATATATGGCTAAAGAATCCATTTTTAATGGAACTTAGTTTTTGTCAAAAATTCTATTTTTGACCTTTGAAGCCTGATATCTTGGTACGAACAAATGCGTCTTTTGGTACCTTTCACCAGGCATGCTCATATATGAATTTTAAAGCCAGATTACTAATTTTGTATTTGTTGATTACCAAAAGTACATATATGCTGGTGGATGGGCAACCCTGAGCAGCTTTGGATGTCACCAAACTTTGGCGGCTATTTTATAGCTAAATTTATCTCTGACAACTGGTGCCCTCCAGTTCATTCAATTGTAACTACCTCAACTTCAATTGAAGATAGTTGGGTATTTTTTAAATTATAAGATTATAAGCAAGGCAAATGAACAGGCTGTAAGATTATTATAGCCTACTCAATATGCCCAAAAATTGACGAGCTCCTGATTCCACTGTGTCATGACACTTTTTTACTTTCCGTGGAAGACCATGTTTTTAAGGGTATCCTCATTCAAAGGACCTTTCAAACAAAGTCTTGTGTGTTTGAAAACTAAATCTTATAGTTCCTACAATTTAGTTGCTCTGCTACACAATAAAATGATATTTGAAGAATTCTAGAAATGGGTACAGTAAAACGTCGGTATATCCTACTGCTTGGCTTAAAATGTACACTCGACTGAATATTTTCTTTCTAAAGTCCTGAGTCCAATTTAGTAATAATAATAGACAGCATTTGTATAGCGCAAACTCCCGCTCAACAGCAAGCTCTATGTGCTTTACAATCTGCATATAAATTATTATTACTTACTCAAGAGACCGGATAGCATTCTGAAAGTATCTTAACTACCTGGGAAGCATACAGTGCAAGCTGCCTTTTACAGGTGCTAATACCCTTTCTGACGAGATCTTTCGCTGTCTATGGCCCTGTATCCATTCCCACCTAGGAGAAGTGAGGCAATTTCTTGTAAAGTGCCTTTCCCAAGGACACAACATCGGGCCTGAGGCTTGAATCCCTGAACCTGCAACCTCATGATTAAGAATCAGATAGCTTAAACACTAGACTACCGATGCCAAAAAATGTATTTTTACTCTACATGTATAACAACAGTCTTACACTTACACAATTTTTTAAAACATACCTGTGTAAAACATACTTTCGCTATAACTTATAACGTTCACCTGTCAAGGGATTTTAATGATGAAGGGTCCATTTACATGATACATTGTGAGAACAGAGACACTTGAAAAAGTGGTAGTTTTACTGTGCTCAGGAATGCAACATAAACAGCTGCCGTGAGAGGAAGAGGGCAAGTGTATTGTAGGTGTCGAGAGATGGTGCTGACAGTGGCACATAGGCACAGAGCATCCTGCCTCATGATTATGGTGCACTTTTGCCTTTTAAGTTTTTGTCCCCCACAGTTTTTGTTGTGTGTCCAGAATTTGTCATCATCAACATCATGCTCTCCACCTCCACTGTACGTCCATAAATTCCATACATGTACATGATGCATAAAATTTGTCTGGGTAACTTGGATTTGAATTAATAATAATAATAGATAGCATTTGTATAGCGCATATCCCCGCTCAACAGCAGGCTCTAAGCGCTTTACACTATATTAAGCCTAAAGATAAAAATCAAAACAAAACATAAAAACCTACCAAAAAGAAAACCCCCAAAATGAATGACTTTAGATCACCCATTACTTAATGGATGCCACTGCTGACCCTCCTCCCCATAACAGGCAAAGGTAATTAGTGAGGTACTATTGCACGGGTGCGGTGCCCGAGCGGTTGTTGCGCTTGTCTCTGAAGCGGAAAGTCCAGGTTCGAGCTTCGGTTCGGACGCAGATTTTTTTCGGCCCCTCCTGCCCACCCAGCGGTAATGGGTACCTGACTTCGAGTTGGGGAAGTTAAGGCGGCATGGAAAGGAACTGGCCACCTTACCACTATATGCCGAAGGCCCAGGAAGTTGTCTCACTAACAAGGCAATCCCCAATGTCCAGATTGGATGCGGGAACAACTTTGCTTGAGGGTGTGGCAGCGGAGCGTTTAGTGTGCTCGTCTCCGAAGCGGAAAGTCCGGGTTTGATCCTCTGTTCGGACACAGATTTTTTTCGCCCCCTCCTGCCCATCCAGCAGTAATGGGTTGAGGAAGTAAACGCAGCGGTGAAAGGAACAGGCCACCCTACCACAATATGCCAAAGGCACAGGAAGTTGTCTCTATACAAGGCAATCCCCAATGTCTGGATCAGATGCAGGAACAACTTTTACTACATGTTTTGTCATGTTCCTACCATTTTTGGGGGCTAATTTGTAGGCCTATCATGTACCACGGCAAAGACGTTCAAAATCTTGGGTTTGAACAGAGAATGTTATTCTAAGATATACTGAAGTTTTACTGCAACTTGAACAGGCTTCTGCAGTGTTTCATGAAAAAGATAGATGTACCTTGAATTCTGATGTGAGGAATATATATTTTATTGAGAACCAGTATCTCAGACTTTCTGCTGGACTGCAGTATCAATTCAAATTCAAAGTCCCCGTGGGCCCTGTCATGTTAAATGAATCAGCTATGTTGTGGATGTACAAAAACATTTACAATAAGATAACTTAAATCAACTTTGGAAACGGTTTGATCACTGGTTTTATTCTCAAAGCGACGTAATAACAAGAAATGATGATGTAAGTTAACAACACTGAACCAAATGAAAAAGAAACCACGGTTTTTCTCAACACTTGCTGCAGCAGATTTGACCCATTCACTTCAAACACACAATGCATGAACTTCTTAGAAAAAGCATGGACAAATATATGAGATATGAGATATGAGATGACATTGGTGACACGGGAGGGAGGAATGGAGGAAGGGGGAGAGAGAGAAACTTGAGAGAGTCAGAGAGAGAGAGAGAGTATTTGTCCGATGCACACTGCGCTCATGTCAGAGGGGGCAGTCAGGACATTATTTGTAGAGGTAAGAGTTAGAGCAATGTCTTTGACTTTGACAGGAGTTTGAAGGGAATTTTAACTTTGGTCAGGTTATACAGTGGAATCCTGTTATAACGAGAGGGAGGGGACCAGTGCGAAATGACCGTTATAGCAGGATTCTCGTTAGGGATCGAGTAATAAATTCAAGGGAAATAGTAAAGTAGGCCTAATCTATGAGTTTGGTGTTTTGTTTATTCCTTTTTATATTTCACCTGATGATGATTTTGTTCAACATGATCTCTAGGTCTTACTTGATCAAAAATCGAATCAGGTTTCTTTCTCTAGAAAGAAGGGGCTCTGGCTCTAGGCTAACTTGCCCACTGTGTTGTTCCCCTCCT